TTTTACGACACACTTCACACTCATGTAGCCTCTCTTCTGAATGAATAGCTTTATGTTGATTTAGGTTAGTCCTTTTTGCAAATGTTTTATGACATTTATCACACTCATGAGACCTTTCCGCTGAATGAATTGCTAGGTGTTGCTTGAGGTAAGATTTTCTAGAAAACCTTTTATGACACATATCACATTCATGTGGCTTTTCTTGTAAATGAACAGAAGTTTTATGTAGATTTCGGTTACCCTTGGTAGTAAATTTTTTATAGCACACATCACACTCATGTGACTTTTCTGCTTGTAATAGATTGAGATAATTGTGAGGTCAAGGGAACTCACTCTTCTGTATTAGTATTGTATTTATATTGTTATCTTGAGTGATGTCCCTTACATGATATAAATAGTTGTCTCTCGTCATTTCCGTCCTCTCTGGTTATCACCATGTAGTTAGACCCAATAAACGTTTTATACACGACCACATGCTTCTATCGTCAATCCATTATATCTGGCGACGAAGGATAAAAATCTACTAGAAAGAGCACCTACTTACGCAAAAAAGAGGTTTGCTAGAGCTTATTAGCTAAGTATTTCTAGAATAATGGCGCTGTATGGCCAAATAAAAGAATTTGATTCGAATGATGAAATCATTCAAGATTACCTAGATAGGTTAAGCTTTTACCTTGAAGCAAACAACGTGACGATAGAAGCCAAAAAGAGAGCTGTTTTGTTAACAGTCATAGGGCCTCAACAATTTAGGCTACTAAAGGACTTATGCGCACCAGCTAGTCTAACTACCAAGAGCTTTAACGAGCTGAGCAAATTGCTAACAGACCACCATGCGCCTACCCCATCAAAGTTTTTATGTCGAGCTAGATTTGACAGTAGGACTCGTCAACCAAACGAGTCAATATCAGAATATGTTGCTGCTTTACGTCATTTAAGTAAATTTTGTGAATTCGGCGATACGCTGTCTGACAGACTATGTGAAAAGTTTGTGACAGGTGTAAACAGCCCTGATATTCAAAGAAAGTTGCTGCTCGAGTCAGATCTAACATTAGAAAAAGCAATACAGCTTGCAACTTCATTCCAGCAGTCATCAGATGCGGCGAAATCTTTAGCACCTTCAGGGATCCATGCAGTAAACTGCAGGTTAGTCAATAAACATCAACCCCAACAGAGCATTCCAACTTATGCTAAACAGCCTGCTCGTTCAAATCCTAGATCTAAATCTAGTAATAATTATCAAAAATGTCATCGATGCAAAGGTCCCCATGCATCTCATCGGTGCAAGTTCAAGTTAGCAACTTGTTATAAGTGCAGTAAGCAAGGTCACATTGCCAAGGCCTGCTTTGCAAAGTCTTCGTCTGTTGCTAAATCTAGCCAGTCAAGACAGTACCGCAACCAAGGGCAACACTATGTTAACTCTCACCAAGACTACCTAACCCAACCAATGAACCACTCTACCAGTGAAAATGCTCAAACTGATTCGCAGCCGGATTTCAACCTGTTCTCTGTGAAATCAATAAGTCATGCTCCCATCAATGTACTAGTTAATATCAACGGTAAGAGCATCAGCTTCCAACTTGACACTGGAGCATCTCTAACAGTCATAACAAAGAAAGATTTTGACGCTGTCACAGGAGGATCAGTGCCTCTACAGCCATGTCACAAGTGTCTAACAACATACACTGGTGACAATGTTCCGGTAATAGGAGAGTGTATGGTTCATGTAAGTTATAATGGTCAAAGTGTTAAACTTCCTCTTCTTGTGGTTGAAGGAAATGGACCACCATTACTAGGTAGGAACTGGTTAAGTGATCTTAAGTTAAATTGGGAGAGTATTTGTTCATTGAAGAATGTAAAAGAATCTAGTCTTACTTCTCTAGATAAAGTTATATCTGAAAATAAAAGTGTTTTTGGCAATTCTGGTTTACTAAATGATAGAACAGTGAAGTTAAGCGTTAAAGACACAAATCCAAGATACTGCAAAGCTAGAGTTCCACCTTATGCAATGAGGAATAAAATTGAAAATGAGCTAAGTAGATTGGAATCTAATGGCATCATAAAGAAGGTAGACTATTCCGATTGGGCGTCGCCCATTGTGCCAGTGTTAAAGAAGGATGGTTCTATAAGAATTTGTGGAGATTATAAAACTACACTGAATAAGCAAATAGAGCTAAATAGGTACCCTATACCTAACATTGAGGAAATTTCTTTGAATTTGGCAGGAGGAGACAAATTCACTGAATTAGACTTTAGTCATGCTTACACTCAACTAGAACTGCATCCAGATTCAAAAGTCTATACGACAATAAACACACATAAAGGACTCTACCAATATGAAAGACTATGTTTTGGCATATCATCTAGCCCTGGAATTTTCCAAGCTGTCATAGACAGTATTTTTAAGGATATTCCAAATGTTTGTGTGTACTTTGACAATGTGTACATAACTGGTAAGAATGACACTGAACATCTTAAAACACTAGATAAAGTCTTGAAAATTGTTGGTGAAAAAGGTTTAAAGATAAACAAAGATAAATGTCAATTCATGTTGACAGAAATTAGTTTTCTTGGTTATATATTAAGCAAGCAAGGCATCAGACCTCAACCTGAGAAAACAAAAGCCATTAAAGAAGCACCCAAACCTGAAAATACCCAACAACTAAGAGCTTTTTTGGGCTTGATAAATTACTATGCAAAGTTCATAGGAAATCTGTCTGGTAAACTATCACCACTGTACAAGCTGCTACAGAAAAATGCAACTTGGCACTGGGGTAAACAACAAGAAGCTGCTTTTAATACAGCAAAAGAGGCTTTGTCTGCTGACACCTTACTAACTCACTATGACCCAGGGAAAAGACTTATATTAACATGTGATGCTTCACCAGATGGTGTAGGAGCAGTCTTGTCCCACATGGATGAGAAGGGTGACAGACCCATTGCTTTTGCCAGTAGATCTTTGAACCAGGCTGAGAAAAATTATTCTCAGTTAGATAGGGAAGGCTTAGGCATCATTTTTGGTGTTAAGAAATTTCATAGGTTTCTGTTTGGTAGGAAGTTCACCATCTTTACAGATCATAAACCATTGCTAGGTTTATTTGGAGAAAACAAAACCCTACCTGAGCATGCCTCACCAAGAATTCAAAGATGGGCTATCACACTAACTGCATACAATTATGAATTGAAATACAAACCTGGATCTGAGAATAGTGCAGATAGTCTTAGTAGATTACCTTTAAAAAACCAAAGCCTGAGCTATGTACCAGAAGATGTATTTGTTCTCTTCACTATCATGGATAACTCCAATATAAATGTGAATGATATTAAAAGAGAAACACAAAAAGATGAGTGCTTAATAAAAGTACATGAGTACAGTAAGAATGGTTGGCCTGAAGAGTCTGTGAATGATGACTTAAGGCCATATTAAATAAGAAATAAAAACCCTTTGTGAAGATAATATAAAAGATGGAGAAAATGCAGTCCATTATCAGTCAGAGTTGCCTAAACAAAGTATTTGTAACTTAATAAATGATTATGGTGATATGGCAATTTCAAATACATTAGTAAGAAGGAATGTGATCATCAAACAACTTTGCTAACATCATTAGCACTTAAAGAAACTAAAAGGGTAACATCAAAAGAAAAAAAAAAGATTTTTGCCATTTAATACTTTCAGATGCCAATTCAAAAATAGTTCCATTAAATCATGACAAATCATTCATTGAAGGAGAATTTGGTGTTAATAAGAATGTGTATCTAAGAAATTATGGGAGAAAGGAAAAATGGATACCAGGTCAAATTGTTCAATGTACAGGACCTGTGTCTTATAAAGTAAAAACAAATGATGGACTTATTGTCCGTAGATATGCAGACCAGTTAAAAATAACTTGTGCAGATAATAAGTGTGAATCTGTCAATCCCACCAAATCTGAACAGTTCACACCAACTCAGTTTGTTCCACAACCAAGTTCTGTTGATATGAGTGAACCAAGTTGTCTAGAGTCAGAAAATGTAAATTCTGGAGTTAATGATTTAAATCCTAGACCTCCTGAGATAGAGAATCCAAATGGTCAGAATATTGAGTCACCAAATCAAAAGCTACTGAGAAGGTCAAGCAGGACAATCAAAGTCCCAAATAAGTTAGACCTATGATTTTAAAGGTCAAAAGGACTTTGACATCATTGTTTGTATTGTAACATATTGTGCATTGTTTGTAAGGATGTAATCTACCATAGTGTTCATGTTACAATATAATTGGTGATTTTAGGATACTATCAATTGTTCTATTGAGAGATGTGTTATTGTGTTCTAAGGGTAAAGGGATGTAATAGATTGAGATAATTGTGAGGTCAAGGGAACTCACTCTTCTGTATTAGTATTGTATTTATATTGTTATCTTGAGTGATGTCCCTTACATGATATAAATAGTTGTCTCTCGTCATTTCCGTCCTCTCTGGTTATCACCATGTAGTTAGACCCAATAAACGTTTTATACACAACCACATGCTTCTATCGTCAATCCATTATACTGCTGAATGTATTGCTTTATGTGTAATTAAAGTAGAACTGGTAGTAAACTTTTTATGACACACATCACATTCATGTACCCTCTCTTCTGTATGTATAGCTTTATGTTGATTTAGATGACTCTTTGAGACAAGTTTTTTACGACATATATCACACTCTTGTAATTTTTCTGGGAAATGAATTATTTGATGTTGGTTTCGATTACCCTTAGTAGTAAATTTTTTTATGACACACAACACACTCATGTGATTTTTGTGCCGAATGAATTGTTTTATGTTTCTTTAGATAAGCTCTTTTAGAAAACATTTTATGACACATGTCACATTCATGTAGCCTCTCTTCTGAATGAATAGTCTCATGTTGATTTAGTTTACTTCTTGTAGCAAAGTTTTTATGACACAAATTACACTCATATGACCTCACATCTGTGTGTGATTCTTTACATTTTACTAGAAGAGTTTTATGCTTTAAAGATTTTAAGTTTTTGTCTTGCACTTCTTTAATAATTCAACCTGATTTGATATTGGATTTTCATTGTTGTTTATCAGAATATTCTTAAGCTCTGATAAATCAGTTGATATCTCTGTCTTTATATGAGAAATATTATCAGTTAGAGTTGTCTCTAGTGATAGGTTTAAACCTGCATTCAAACCATCAGGTTTTATATCTTCAAATACTGAAAATAAATTGAGTGTATCACTATCTGGTTTGTTGTCTATATGTGTTGTAAATTCTGATAATAAATCATGATTTTTGTTTTCACATGTTGACAATACATTTGCTTTTGTATCATTAATTTCTGAAAACTCCTCTTGTTTTATGTATTCAGCTGAAATTTCATTGACAATATCTGGCTGGAAATCCACAGGTAGTTCACATTCCAGAGTAGCCCTTGACCTAACCGCTACCAACTAACCCCTAACAATAATTCACTCCAGCTTTTATACCGCATTCGACCTTGGGATAACTATACATGAACACACCGGGGTTAACAAGACTCTAGGGTAAATTCAACTCACACACGCACTCTCTCCTAATTTTAGATTATCTATATCTATATACTACTAAAAGTCAAGTTTGTTTACATGTTTGAATATTTATTTGTTTTTTTTTTTGTTTTTTTTGTTTGTCCGATCGAGAATTGTGATATGTTCTACTCTATCTGGAGAGCTGTAAAATAGTATGTAGGTAGAGAATAATTTTTTAATGCAGACAGACTCTTAATCACAAATTTATTTAAAGACGTTAATTAATTTATTGATTTATTCATACGTAGAGTAACCCTATTTTTTTTAAAGTTTAGAACGACCACTACACTCGGCGGGACCGTGACGTCACAGTTTTTTGTTTACTCTTTAGTACAATAAAATGGCGGCGTCTATCGAAGAAAATTGTGTTCCCATTCAAAAGTTTAACGCGTTCTAAATCTAATTTTCTGTCGGTCATAACTTTAACAATACGTCCGTTTGCTGTATTTATTACGTTCCAACACTTATATCAATTTTCAACTGTCTTTTTTCATTTAGTTTTACAATAAATTTCTCTAGATCTAAAGATCAGCTGTCGAAGGAAAGTTATGAATCTAGCCTAGATCTAGCCTAGATCTAGGTCACTAGACTTAATGTAAATTCTAGATCTAGACTTAATGTAAATTCTACATCTAGAATCTATTTCAGGCCTTAATACATCTAGAATCTATTTCAGGTCTTAATTATTTTATATAAATCTTTGTTTGGCTAATTTAAGATAAAATTTAATTTGAAAGTTACTACTACTAGACTTAGATCTAGATCTATGCGCGTAAATCAAGTTGCATAAGGAGACTCAAAGTATAGTATAAAAATTCATTTGTGATGTCACGAGTAAATAGCTAAGTTGGTAGTGTAGGCGCCTCTCATGCGGGTGGCACAGGTTCTAGACCAACATGTTAATATAGGCAGGTGAAGTAGAGTTCATCTGTTTCTTTGTCCTAAGCATATGAAAGGATAGTGTGGTCAGAGACATGCTCGGCTGGAATAGTTTTTTAAACGATAAAAACATGTTGCCTGAGTCTTGGCGGGACACTGGGCAGGTGAAGTAGAGTTGAGTAGGTCACCTGTGACGTCAGTATAGGAAGGGATAGTCCGAAATCAAAGTTTTCGGTGTTTTTAAAAGATAAAAAACATATTTTTTAATGTGGGGTCTGTTTTTTGTGACGATAAGTGACACTGCAGTAGCGTAACGAGGAGGGGGGAGGGCGGGAGGGGAGGCGGGGGGGGGGGGGGGGGGGGAAGGGGAGGCGGGGGGAAGGGGGGGCGGGGGGACGACATATGTTGGGGCGCCTAAATGGTTTGGAAAAATAAATTGAAAGGTTGAGGGGGGTTCAAATCGAAAGTTTGAGTGGGGGGGGGGGGGGGGGTGCACATCAAAAGTTTGAGGGGGGGGGGGGTTCAAATCGAAAAGTTTGTCCCCGGGCGCCGGGAAGGGTTGCTATGCCTCTGACAGACGTGATGTTTTTTGAAGGATGACCCCCGAAACCCACAGTTATCCAACGGATGACGGGTATTCTAGTTGAAGACTAAAATCGGAAAAATTCACATCGGATTAAGGAATAAATAACCGATATCACTCAGAAAAGAAACCCATTGAACTAATATTGTTTGTTATTAGCTCATGATTCTAAGATTGTGAATATCAAGTTTGCGGACATATCTTTTACAGTAACGAAATATTAATTAATTATTTGGAATATTTATTATTAAAATAATATTTAAACACTATTTTCAAAAGTTATATCAGATTAATATTAAAGCTAAGTCTCACTCAGTGGTATAGCTAGGGGAGGGCGGGTAGAGCGCCATCACTAAGGGGGTGCCAAAAGAGGTAAAAAATATTTAAAAGCTCATTTCAACCTAAAGTATTAAATTATTATTCACAGTCAAAGTGTGGCACCAAAGCAAAAACTAGTGACTGGTTAAAAAGCGCCGCCAAAATGTTCAATTGTGGAAGAGTGTTTTTTGCACTAACACTAACATGAATAAATATAATATAAATGGGAGGTGGTCACAAAATTGAAACTTCATGCCTGGTGCCCGATATGGGTCGCTACACCTCAGCTCTCTTGCAGTACAAACAGATACAAAATTATCAACTTTTCAGGAAAAAAAACAAACTTTATTATGTAAAAAGTTTTGATTTTAATGAAGTTTAAACGGGTGTAGGACAAAAGGCCGACATGGACACAAGGCCGACAGCCATAAGGCAGAAAAGTATTTAAAAATACTAATATCGCAAAATATATGTTACTGCATAGCTGCTATCTTGACAACCATCAAAGTACGGCATGAAATAAGGTGAAACCAAGAGAAGAGACTATTCTAGTTACTACCCATATAAGGTGAACCATCCGATACAAGCGACTGGAGATCACTGGAGTGTCTTAAACACAAAGGATCAACACCTAATTTTTGCGAAATGCGGTCACTGCTGTTTTTCATAGCTCCTTCTATGTCAACGAGGTGAGACTATCATCAAAGAACCAAGCCAAAAGCCGTCGCATCATCGCCCACATGCAACAAGGTAGAACGCCAAGAGACCATTCTAGTTGCGAACAAGGTGAACAATGGGGTCCATGCGACTGGAGATGACGGGAGTGTACAAAGGATAACCAGAAAGGTGGTGTTACCACCATATTTCTCAAAGAAATCAAAGAAACCAAATAAAGTAGAACGATCACGTCCTTTGACTGAACTACATGTTAAATACCGACAAAGCGTTGAATTATATTTTAGTTTCGTCCATTGCGAATTGCGTGAAAAAAGTGTATTCTATATTCGTTGGATCCATTAATTCTGTTGTGATTTTGATACAAGTGTGCCAAAATTGGTAAGTTTTTTGTTTTGTTTTTTGTTAGTGTTATTAAAGAAAAATTTGATATTAATAAACAAAATACAAGTATGCCTACATGTTGTATAAACAGAAAATATGTTATATTTATATATGTAGGTGGGGCAAGTTGACACATGACATTAGACAAAATGTAACAAAGTAACTACAGTGCAGTCTAGTCAACAAACTTTTTAAAAACTGAAATCAATTGGTAGTGATGTCTTTTACTACATTAGCAACAGCTTATAACATTACTTGTTAAAATTCTCTGGGGTATTGGTACAGTTACATCATGGGGCGGGGGCGCGAACTGCACCTGGATGCACAATGTTTTAAAAAATTCAGTTTTTATAGCGTAGATTATATTTGTGCCCTTGGATTTGTTCATATTTTTTTCAACTACACTTGAATTTTTACGTGGCATAGCATACAATTTGTCATACTAGGCCCTATTTTTTCTATTTTATAATATACCTTTATCATTATGTAACTGGTTTTCAATAAAAATTAAACAAGTGCGTAATTGTAGTTTGTTGTTTTATAAAACTTGTCGGCCTTTTGTCCATGTCGGCCTTTTGTCCATGTCGTTCTTTTGTTCATGTCGGCCTTTTGTCCGGATTCCAGTTTTAACAAGATTATTAAAAGGAAGTAGAAAACAAAAATCTAGATTTAATTTAAATTAATTGCAAAAACATCACAACATCATAAATATATATTACACACAGATCATGCAAATTTCACTAACATTTTCACTAAAAGTAATAAGAAGGAATATTTTTCAAATGGACATGGTGAAGCACAAAAAAAAAATGAAATAGATTATGACCTCTCTTTTTAAGTAAGGGGTCATCCATAAATGACGTCACGCTTTTTTTGACGATTTTTACCTCCCCCCCTCCCCTCCGTCACACGTCGTCACAAAAAGCCAGACCCCCCCCCCCCCTAAAATGACGTCACACCTCATCCTACAACCCCCCTCAAAATTGCAGTTGAATTTTTTTAAAACATCGATATTTTTCCAAAATCTTGTCTAAACTATTACAATTTATTAAAACACTTGTCTAAAACGCGAAATAACGTCTAAAATTCGTTTTCTAACATTGCTTTTTTATAATGCAAAAATGTGACGACGCAACATCTGACCCCCCCCCCCCTCCCCCTCATCACACATCGTCACAAAATTACGGACCCCCCCCCCTCCCCCCTACGAGTGTGACGTCATTTATGGATGACCCCTAAACTTTGCTTAGATACACAGCAGTCTTTTTTTGTTAAAAGAAAACGCCATTTACAGTTTTATGTAAGGAAAAGATTTCTGCTTTCAAACAACAAGTTTTATATTTTCAAATGGATAAATATATCGTTTATCTGTGGGTTTTTTGTGTTAATTTATTTCAAGTTTAAGGTCTCATAAAGAAATCAAGACTGTTTTTTACAAAAAGAACACAAATTTGGCCTCTCTCTAGAATAGTTTGCTTGATAAAAGCAAACTATTATGAAACACTTTATACTCATGTTGTCTCTATTGCTTAGGGGTCATCCATTTAAGAATTAATTTACACAGATCTAAAATATTTCCTATATATATATAAATCAGTTTTTAGGTATACAATACATATTATTGAAATAGTAAATTGGTATTATTGTTTTGCAAGGGGGGGGGGAAGAGGAGTGGTTCAACATAAGTGGATAACATTTTAGTTTAAGGTCTCATAAAGAAATCAAGACTGTTTTTTACAAAAAGAACACAAATTTGGCCTCTCTCTTGAATAGTTTGCTTGATAAAAGCAAACTATTATGGAACATTTTATACTCATGTTGTCTCTATTGCTTAGGGGTCATCCATTTAAGAATTAATTTACACAGATCTAAAATATTTCCTATATATATATAAATCAGTTTTTAGGTATACAATACATATTATTGAAATAGTAAATTGGTATTATTGTTTTGCAAGATCTACAAAGTTGTGGTCGTCCATGGGGGGGGGGGGGGGGGGGAGAGGAGTGGTTCAACATAAGTGGATAACATTTTAGTGGACGTCATAAATGGATGACCGCTTACAGAAATTTACACTATAGAAACATAATTTAATCTATGAATGAATGAATTTGTTCATACAAACTTTATTTTATCTACAAAAGTTTAATTTGACCTACTTCTGAATCAATTAATTGGAGGCATTTTAGAGTCATTATCAAACGAAACTTTTTATGCCACAAATTATACTCATGCCACCTGTGCTGTATAACTTGCTTTGTGTTGGTAAAGTTTACTCCTTTTAATAGCATAAATCACTCATGCAATAACATGCATTTTTTATGTAGATTTAATTTTTTATTTTAAGAAAACCCTTGATGACGCACATCACACTTATATGGTACTTTTCCATAATGAATAGCTTCATGTTGATTTTTGGTAAATCCTTGTAACAAACTTTCTATGACACACATAACACTCATGTAACCTTTTGTGCTGAATGAATTGTTTTATGTTGCTTTAGGTTACTCTTGGTAGTAAGCTTTTTATGACAGACATCACACTTATATAACTTTCATGCTGAATTGCTTTATGTTTGATTAAAGAAGAACTGGTAATAAACTTTTTATGGCACACATCACATTCATGGTTCCTCTCTCCTGTATGAATAGCTTTATGTAAATTTTTTATGACAAACATCACACTCATGAGGCTTTTCCACTGAATGAATTTCTTTATGTATCTGTAAGTTCGACTTTCTAGAAAACCTTTTATGGCTTATGTGATTTAAAAGCAGAATGAATTACTTTATGCCTAATTAGAGAAGAACTGGCAGTAAACTTTTTATGGCACACATCACAGTCATATGACTTTCGTGCTGAATGAATAGCTTTATGTTTAATTAGAGAAGAACTGGTAACTAATTTTTTATGGCACACATCACATTCATATAGCAACTCTTCTGAATGATTAGCTTCATGGTGATATAGGCGAGTCCTTGTTGCAAATTTTTTATGACATACATCACACTCATGTGCATTTTCTGCTGAATGAATTGTTTTATGTTTGGTTAGTCTAAACTTTCTTGCAAACCTTTTATGACACACATCACACTCATGTAGCTTTTCTCCTGAATGAATAACTTGATGTTCTTTTAGAGCATACCTTCTTGTAAACTTTTTATGACACACATCACAGTCATGTGACTTCTCTTCAGAATGAGTTAAATTATTTCTTTTCAAATGAGCACTTCTAGAAAAAATTTTATCGCATAGATCATGCTCATTTAATCTTACATCTGTGTGTGTTTCTTCACATTTACTAGAAGACTTCTATGCTTTAAAATAGTTAAGTTTTGATTGTTACATTTCTGTAACAATTCTGACTGATCAAATATTGAATTATCCATGTTTATAAACGTATCCTTGACCTCTTCTATATTATTTAATATCTCTGTCTTTATGTGAGAAAGATTTTCATTTAGATTTGCCACTGGCAAAAAGTTTACTTCTACTTTTAAAACATCAGGTTTTACATCTTCAAAAGATTTTTGGTCTTCACTTGTTTTAAATTCTGATAGTACATCAGGATTTTTGTTTTCAGATGTGGAAAATAAATGTGGTTTTGTGTCATAAAAAGATGAACATTCTGTAAATCCCTCTGGGTTTATGTTTCCAGTTGAAATTACATTGGCAATATATGCATTGGTTTTCTCAGATTGTTCATGTTTCACTCCTAAAATACTTGGTAATTCTTTTAAATCAGCTGCTCTTTCTTCCATTTCTTTAGCTGAAAGAATATTTAAAAAAAAAAAATGAAATAATATCTCTAGACAATAATAAATATGGGACAGGGTGGCCTAGTGGTAGAGAGTTAGACTGCTAACCAGAAAGTCTCAAGTTCGAATTCAGGTTCAAGTTAGTAGAACGTCCCTGAGTACACTCAGCTCTTATGGGTACCTAACTCATGTTAGGGAAAGTAAAGGTGGCTGGGCATAGTGCTGACCCAACTATCCCTTCATATGCAGAGGTTACAGAAACAGATGAACTCTACTTCACATGCCCATAGATAATCAGGTTTGAAAGGGAACTTTACTTTTACAAAAATAATACTTTTTTTCCAGAAATATGTATGCTGACATAAGCAGTTAATGATAGGGTTAGTTGTTTTTCAAATTAAGCTTTAACATATACATGCAACAACATGTCAAAATAATTACAAATACCAGATTAAAGGAGATATAATGATACAAATGTATAAAGCTATATAAATACAGAAACAACGTTGCTACAAAATCTTAAATACCTTGAAGTCATAGGTCGCTGTGGTTAAGAGATTTGGGATAGTAGAAAATAGAACAAAAAATTATTGGACACATTTTATCATACTTAATTATTCCAATGTTTGGTTTTATGCCTAATTCATTTTCTTTGTACTGTATTTCTTAAATATTTGTTTTGGTTATCAAAGCAAATGTAGCTGTACAATATCATTAACAAAAATAACACTCAATTGCCTGACATAAAAATGTACGTCTGTTTATACTATGTAGTGGTTTTTTAATTATGATAGTTTGATTTACATTAATATTACTTTTATTGGTCTTCCTTGATATATTTATGTTAATGTTTCTATTATTAAGATTTAAAGGGCGTGATACATTAAAGTTGATATTAGCCTTGGGCCTAAGGTTACATTACCAATTAATTAATGAAATACATGGACTGGACTATGACATGTGAATGTCATGCAAACATTGTTTCTTTCATTGACAGCTGTTGTTTGGAATGCATAGTTCTCCAATATGATAGATAACTGAATAATAAACCCAAAACAATGGTTAAATATATCAATTTAAGACAGATTTTTTTTAATGCAATATAGTTGCATGACTGCGTGTATATTAGTGCGGAATAGCTGGAAGAGACTGCCTACTAATTTGGACACAATTTTAATCAATTCATAAACAATTAATTATACATCCAATAAGTCAAATTTAATGTCAGATTGCATTGTCTTCATGTCTTGACCCACGTGCCAACTTTGAACAGAATCTGTCAGTTAGAAGTGCTCGAAATTTTAGCTCTGCCGTTTCGATCTAACTGACGACAGACAGAGACAGTAAGTTAAAAAATTATACACTGCTTCTTCTTCTTGTTCGTTCTTAATTGTTAGTGTTGGAGGGTATCGAGCCTTGTCTACCAGAGGGTTTGAACTGGAACTCGAATTTATCAACCATGAGATTTTGCCGACTCGACCACGCCTCCATCACAATTAAGGATACGTGTCAACAGGTTATGCGCCATATAGGCCATTGACTCCAATATCAGCCTGCCTTTCTTTTTTGGATTTGCTTCCATAGCCTTTGTCCAACTAAGAACAAACTACAAGACAGCAGTAGTTTGATTTTTGAGTGATCTCTCCTAGAAGAGCGGCAGTCCCCAGCTAACGAGACTCATCTGCCCGAGGGTTCGAACTCGAGACTTTTCGGTTTAGCAACCATGAGCTTTACCGATTCGACCACGCTGACCCCTATACAATACTATTTAAATAACTATTTTAAAAAAGCGTGGGTTTCTTCCTAAATATCAGTAAAGGTATCCAATATATACTAAAGTGATCCACGCTTTTCTTTATAGTTATTTAAATAGTAGTGTATAATTTATTTTCTACTTTTTAGTGCATTATTACATAAAAGCTTGTTATTAAAACGTTTTTATGAATTTCTTTTTCAGTACATTAAATTTTTAAAATTTATAATAGAGTTGCATAACTAAAAACCATTGCGCACCTAATGAATATGATGACACGTGTATAATAGTGTGGATTAGTTTGATGAGACAGCCTACTAATTTGGACATGATTTTAATTCATTCATAAAAAAGTAATTAGGCAACCAATTAAGTCAAATTTAATGTATGTTGAATTGTCTTCTTAAACCCAGGTACCAACTACGAACCGTATCTGTCAGTTAGAAGTGCCCGTAATTTCCCTCGGGCGTTTTGATCTAGACAGACTGACAACTTACAGACAGAGACAGTAAGTTAAATAAAAGCTTGTGTAAAACAGCAGTGTTTGCGAGAGAGATTTGCTATAGACAGCGGCCATCTATAAACTAGAGTGGTTTAACAAACAAAAAACTGAAACAAGATGGCTGTCAAAGTAAACGAGTTTTAGTTGCATCTGATGAAAACATTGCTAGTCTATATTTATTACTGAAAAGTTGAAATACAATTGTTTAAAACAGGTACATAATGGAAATTGGAAACATTTTTGTAATTTTCAAAACATACATCCTCCTAAAAATGTGAAATAATTACCAACATTTAATTAGGCACCTTCTTTTCACATTACAAGCCTTGTATCTATTGGCGATAGATTATCGCAGAATCTAATATTAGGGCCTACTATTCCTACTAGGCTAATAATATTATTTTTTTTAAAGTACTAAAATCTATGCAAGATTTAACATAATTCAACAATAAATTACCATCAATTATCAAGTCAGGGACAAATCCTTAAAAAAAAAAACAATAAAAAAAAAACAAATCAATAGATGGTGCTGGAAACAAAAATAGGTAATCTATCGTTTTAGGTGTGTAAAATTGGCTGAGGCTAATAATGTGCAAAAACGACTCATTGTTAAGGCTTAAATAGAAGTAAAGTGTGATATTTGAGTCAAATATTATAGATAACTGAACAGCAGTGTTTGCGAGCAACATTTACTATATAAAAAGCGGCAATCTGTAAGTTAGAGTGGTTTCACCTGAATCTCTTACTATATTTTTACAAAAAAAAAAAAACAACTTAAATAAGATGGTTGCCTAAGTAAATGAGCTTGGTTGCATTTAATACAATTGTTTAAAAGCAGGTTAACCACGCTTACAACAGGTTCTATCACATGCTTTAAGTCAAGTGCAGCTTTACACATGCTTTCCTAATGCAAAATGCAATGAAATGACATCACTGTCTGCGTCTTATGCTTGAAACTTTGTTGTTTTTTTTTAAGCTTAACTATACCCACATTTTTGTGTGCATATTCTTCATTAAACACACAGGGATTCATCACCAATGTTTTGCTTTTTCTGAGGATTCATGGCTTCACTTAATTTGGTAGCGGACATGAAGCAAATCTCAGTTCAAGGCAGGGTTTCTAAATGTCTGGCGGGCCACGAAAAAATCTGGCCCGTGGGCCGCACTTTGCTCACCCTTGGTATGACCTAACATTTACTTACACTAACCTTTAACATTAAATTTTAAAGATTAATTAGGCCTAATATTTTAATAATTAAAATAATGAGACTTTTTAAATTCAGTAACATTGGGAATTTTTGTTACAAAATATATCTGTGCAAACTAGTTTTTATTAACATCGCCACAACAACACCCTGTGGTAGCCTACTAAATCTAATGGACACCAGCGAGAAAAGTCTCAAAGGTATTTGAGAGGTGTATAAATTCATTAAAAAATCATGCACAGCGTATTTACAATTAATATGGTTATAAAATCCTGCCTGTCTGGTTTTTTTCGGACTTTACTAAAGATTGGATGTATTTGATGTTTATAATATTTTCGGTAACTAAATAAAAATTTAAAAAAAAGCAAAAACAATTTGGTTTTCACGTGTAATGGCGACATAAACATGGCATCCTGCTATTGGATAGGCTGCCATAGATTTTATTGTACACATTGTAAGCTAAAAATAGAAAACTAGGTCATGGGGTTTTAAATTTGCATTGTAATTTAAAAACTTGATCTGCAAAGTTTTGTAAACAAATAGTTATCGATTACTAAGTTACTGTACAGCCAATCAATATTTGTCTTACGAAAGTGAAACACCCGGTTATAACTTAGGCTTGATGAAAATAAATAGAAATGTAGCCTTAAACTCAACAAATTATTTTCAAGTTCTCTGGATTTGCAACTTTTATAGCATTTATTCTAAGAATATAAAATTTCTAAATTAATTTTAGGCTTAAGTTTTTATTTTTTATTTTTTTTACGGTCTAAATCTAAAAAGCACGTTTTTATTCCATGACAACAACATTATGGAAGGAATCTCGTCAACTCGCTCGCCTCCATTAGCAGTGTTTGTTTCAGACTTTTTGCTCCGGGGTGGGGGGAGGGCACTTTATATTTCCGGTCGGTGGCGGAACCTCTTCTAATTAGACGCTATTATTTGAATTTTCTGTTGTTGATATATGTATTCATTAAAGCTGTGAATCATTGAAGGCTTCTATCAGCGACATGGCTGACATATTTGCCCTATGTGCTACCGGATGTAGAAGTTTGTCATTAGAATTAGAATAGACCAGAGGTCTCCAAACTATGGCCAGCTAGGCACTCTCATCCAGCCTGTGGAGAACTCTTTGTCTACGGAAAAAAATTACTGAAATTTAGTTGCAAGCAAATGATATCCTTAAGGAAAAATTCAAAGAAGGGCTAGTGGATTTTTACAAATTTTTGCATAAAGGAAGACTTTCCCAATGTAAAAACTTTTCCATCAAGGTACCTTTTAATTTTTGGATCAATATACCTGTGTGAACAAACATTTTCAAGAATGAAATTCGTGAAGAACAATTTGAGAACAACATTGTCCGATTATAATTTCAGGTCACTGTTAATTTTAGGGACATCAAATCTTAAAGCATCCAGGAAACAATTTCACCATCCCCACTAATACAGGTGTTCGTTATTAGTGTATCAATGTTATTAAATAATAACTGTAAAATCACATTTTGCTCAGCGCCTATGAGATTTTTTTCCATGATTACCCTAACAGAGTATTTACATCAATACAACAGATGCTTGTAGATCTGGTCGTAGATCAGTGATTTGTAGTAGGCTTAATGTGCAGCTTTTTCTAAATTCAAAGAAGCAGTAGTTAATTAAAATATATTATCTGAACTAAAACACCGTTATTTAGTTAAATGTAGGCTGTTATTCCGAATGTTTTACTAATATATCGAAAAGCGTGTTTTTACACCAACTCTGATTTTAAAAACTTTCATTATGCTGTAATACTTTAGCATTTATGATGATAATATATTAAATTCTGATTATAGACAAAAACATTTTGTAAACACGAATAGTGTTAAACAATTTCATTATATTCTAAAGTAATTATTTTTTTTTGTTTTGACATTTATAATTAAATGTCTAGATATATACATATTTATATTAAGAAAGTGATTATTTCCCCTATTTCACTTGTCTTAAATAATTTCCCAGGAATTATTATGTAAGAAATTTTTTTTACAAGAATTACAAAACAGATTGTGTTACGTTCATTGTTTTTGGTTGTAGTGTGTATATATATATATATTTCTTTAGATTGATACAATTTTTGTTATGTCGGCCTACATTGTGTGTTTTTTCTTATTTCTTCAGAGTGCTACTTTCAATTTATTTTACATCATAGCGAAGTAATGACATACAGCTAGTAATTATATATATATATATATATATATATATATATATAATACACATATATAGAACGTGTTAAAAATTCGGCGCCTTTTTTTTTATCTTTTCGCTCCCCCTACAACGAAAACCTGGATACGCCTCTGTTTGTCAGTATGTCTTTGTGTGTCTGTAGTGACTGATAAAAAAGCGCCACCAACCTTTTAAACTGGTGAAGTGTTTTTTTGCACTAACATTAATAATTATAATATAAATAAATGGGAGGTGGGCACAAAATTGATACTTGCAGTACAGACACATACAAAATTACCAACTTTTCAGAAGAAAAAAAACAATTAAACTTTATTATGTAAATGGTTTTGATTTTAATGAAGTTTTAACAAGATTATCAAAGGAAGTAGCAAACAAAAATTCTAGAATTAATTAAAACAAATTGCAAAAATGAAATAATTCACAACATGGATGATATTCATAAATATATAATATATTAATATTACACACAGATCATGCAAATTTCACTAAAAGTAATAACAAGGAATATTTTTCAAATGGACATGGTGAAGCACAAAAAAAAATCAGATTTTTTTGGAAATAAGTAAAATATGACTTCTCTCCTGAATGAATTATTTCTACAGGACTTTTTGAAGTAAACTTGCTAAGACACACAGCAGTCAAATATATCTTTTGCTTTAAAACATCAGGTTTTATATTTTAAAATGGAGAAAACACATTGTTTATCTGGTTGTTTTTTTTGTTAATTTATTTCAAGTTTAAGGTCTCATAAAGAAATCAAGATTTTTGTTTTCACATAAAGAATATATATTTGACCTTTCTTGAATAATTTGCTTGATAAAAGCAAACTTTATTATGAAACACTTTATACTCATATTGTCTGTATTGCTTAGGGCTTATCCATTTATGACGTCCACACGGAGATGGAGTCCAAAAAAGTAAATTGGTAGTAAGTTTTGGGAGGTCTACTAAATTTTTGTGAACGTCTAGGGGAGGGGGAAAGGTTCATTGAAATTGGACAGAATTTTAGTATACCTCATAAATAGCATTTTACACTATACAAATATAATTTAATCTATTTATGAATTGATTTGTTTATACATACTTTATTATATTCATAAATGTTTAATTTAACATATTTCTGAATCAATTAATTGATGACATTTAAGAGTCATTATCAAAGGAAACTTTCTTTGGCACAAATCACACTCTTGCATTCTCTGCTGTATAACTTGCTTTGAGTTGATAAAGATTATCCTTGTAGCAAACTTTTAATAGCACAAATCACTCATGCAATGAGATGAATTTTTTTATGTCTATTTAGTTTTTTATTTCAAGAAAACCCTTGATGATGTACATCACACTCAATTGGTGCTTTTTCATAATGAATAGCTTCATGTTGTAATTTAGTAAATCCTTGTAGCAAACTTTCTTTCTATGACACACATAACACTCATTTGACCTTTTGTGCTGAATGAATTGTCTTATGTTTATTTAGGTTACCCCTGTAGGTAAATTTTTATGGCACACATCACAATCATGACTTATGTGCTGAATGAATTGCCTTATGTTTAATTAGAGTAGAACTGGCAATAAATTTATTATGGCACACATCACAATCATATAACTTTCGTGCTGAATGAATGGCTTTATGTTGATTTAGGGTAGCCCTTTTTGCAAATTTTTTATGACATACATCACACTCTTGTAACTTTTCTGGTAAATGAATAATTTTATGTACATTGAGGTTACTCTTGGTAGAAAACTTTTTATGACACACATCACACTCGTGTGACTTAACTGCTGAATGAATTGATTTATGTTTAATTAGAGTTAAAATGGTAGTAAATTTTTGATGGCACACATCACATTCATATACCTCTGAATGAATATCTTTATGTATATTTAGGTAAGCCCTTGTTGTAAATTTTTTATGACATACATCACACTCATGAGACTTTTCCGCTGAATGAATTGCTTTATGTTTATTTAGTGAAGGAATTGCTTTATGTTTATTTAGATACTTCTTTGAAGCAAATTGTTTATGACATACATCACATCCATGAGACTTTTCCGCTGAATGAAATGCTCCATGTTTCTTTAGGGAGGACTTTCTAGAAAATCTTTTAAAACACACCTGACATTCATGTAGCTTTACTTCTGAATGAATTGTTTTATGTATATTTAGGTAGTGCTTGGTGGTAAACGTTTTATGGCACACATCACACTCATGTGATTTTTCTGCTGAATGAGTAGCTTTATGTTGATTTAGACGACTCTTTAAAACAAATTTCTTATGACACACATCACACTCATATTTCTTTTCTGCTGAATGAATGGCTTTATGTTCATTTAGGGTAGCCCTTTTTGCAAATTTTTTATGACATACATCACACTCTTGTAACTTTTCTGGTAAATGAATGGTTTTATGTACATTGAGGTTACTCTTGGTAGATAACTTTTTATGACACACATCACACTCGTGTGACTTAACTGCTGAATGAATTGATTTATGTTTAATTAGAGTTAAAATGGTGGTAAATTTTTGATGGCACACATCACATTCATATACCTCTGAATGAATATCTTTATGTATATTTAGGTAAGCCCTTGTTGTAAATTTTTTATGACATACATCACACTCATGAGACTTTTCCGCTGAATGAATTGCTTTATGTTTATTTAGTGAAGGAATTGCTTTATGTTTATTTAGATACTTCTTTGAAGCAAATTGTTTATGACATACATCACATTCATGAGACTTTTCTGTTGAATGAATTGCTCTGTGTTGATTTAGGGAGAACTTTCTAGAAAATCTTTTAAGACACACCTCACATTCATGTAGCTTTACTTCTGAATGAATAGTTGTATGTATATTTAGGTTATGCTTGGTGGTAAACTTTTTATGGCACACATCACACTCATGTGATTTTTCTGCTGAATGAGTAGCTTTATGTTGTTTTAGATGATTCTTTAAAACAAATTTCTTATGACACACATCACACTCATGTTTCTTTTCTGCTGAATGAATAGCTTTATGTTGATTTAGATGACTCTTTGAAATAAATTTCTTATGACACACATCACACTCATGTTTCTTTTCTGCTGAATGAATAGCTTTATGTTGATTTAGATGACTTTTTGAAGCAAATTTTTTATGACATAAATCACACTCATGTTTCTTTTCTGCTGAATGAATAGCTTTATGTTGATTTAGATGACTTTTTGAAGCAAATTTTTTATGACATAAATCACACTCATGTTTCTTTTCTGCTGAATGAATTGCTATATGTAGATTTAGATTACCTCTTGTAGTAAAATTTTTATGACAGACTCCACATTCATGTAACCTTTCTCCTAAATGAATTGCTTTATTATGTTGTTTTAGATATGTCCTAGTAGCAAACTTTTTATGACACACATTACACTCATATGACCTCACATCTGTGTGTGATTCTTTCCATTTTACTAGAACTGGAAGAGTTTTATGCTTTGAAGATTTTAAGTTTTGCTTCTTACACTTCTTTAATAATTCAACCTGATTTGATGTTGGATTTTCAATGTTGCTTATAAGCATATCCTTAAGCTCTGATAAATCAGTTGATAACTCTGTCTTTATATGAGAAATATTGTCAGCATGAGTTGTCTCTAGTGATAGGCTTAGCCCTGCATTTAAACCATCAGGTTTTATATCTTCAAAAACTGAAAATAAATCAAGTCTATCTGGTTTGTTGTCTACATGTGTTGTAAATTCTGATAATAAATCATGATTTTTGTTTTCACATGTTGACAATACATTTGCTTTTGTGTCATCAGTTTCTGTAAACTCCTCTTGTTTTATGTATTCAGCTGAAATTATATTCAAAATTTCTGGCTTGTTGTCCACATATAGTTCTTGCTTGATCCCTAAAACACTTGGTAATACTTCTATATCAGCTTCTCGTTTTTTTCTATTCTTTAGCTCCATAACTAAATAATTAAATAATTTTTTTGAAAATATTTCCAGAAATAATCAAGTAGAGAAATAATCAAGAAATGTAAATAAACATGTTCTTCAAAAACATGAATGCTGACTTATGCAGCTATGCATATTCTTTTCACAATAAGCCAAACATAACACCTTTGTTAAATACCATTACAATGTGGAGGCTTTTCCATTTTAAAAAGGGGTAGGGGCCTAGTCATTTAGAGGGGTAAGACAAAAAACATACTTTTCATGTCATAAATATTAAGAGTAGTCACACACTTCTAGTTTTTCCTCACTGTTATAACAACTAAGAGTCCAGAGTAAACTATTTGGTCCACTGTCTGGCCTCTAGGTTGGTGCTGTGATCTCATCATAACACAAGTGCATTATTCATAGTTTTCCATTAGGGTCCTATTTTGGAAGAAAAAAATTGTTAAATGATTAAAACATGATACTGTACTCTATGCAAGATTGTATTTAATGCATGTTATTCCACTCAAATATTTTGTTTTGTTTTTAATTTACAAAAAGATATGACATCAACCAGCTATGATGGACACCTGACTTAAGGTAGGGAAAGTAAAGATGTGTAGACACAGAACAAACCAGACTATTTCTTTATTTGTTGAGCACACACTGACAGATTCAGGTGAACTCAATTTCATCTGCTTTATTAATATATTAGGTCTGAAATCTTATTTTACTCTAAGTTTTTTATGGATGGCACTTATTGACACAGAACCAAACAATCCCAAATTACTATTATCATATTAGTTCAAAAATAAAAAGTATGGGCTTTAACTAAAAAAAAAACTACACATTTTAAAAAAAGGGCTTCTTTGTTCTTTATATTTTTGTGAGTCCTGAGCAGTGGCGTAGCGAGGTCGGGTGTCACCCGGTGCGGCACTTAAGGGTGTCACCCCCCAGAGGCGTAGCAACCCTTCCCGGGGACCAACTTTCAAAGTTTTGATTTGCACCCCCTCCTCCCTCAAACTTTCAATTTGCACCACTCCCCTCAAACTTTTGATTTGCATCCCCCTCCCCCTCAAACTTTCGATTTGCACCCCCCCCACTCAAGTTTTTCTCTATATATTTTGCTATTTTTTGCCTTGGTGTCACCCCTCCCTAAATGGTGTCACCTGGTGCGGTCCACACACCCCCCCCCCCCCCCCCCCCCCTCACTACTCCTCTGGTCCTGAGTAAAATGAAATTTATTTTCAACTTTGATCCATCTGTTGCATTTATTGCTGGGTTTTTTAAACTGCTGTTACTTTAATTTTGCATAGCATTTTTAAAACCTGATGAATAGATCAATCCAATATCTGAAATAAGTATGGTCTTACATTTAAAGAAAGGAAATTAGGATAACAGGCAACAGTTTAAACGAAATTTATTATTGAATATTACGTAGTCATTATAATTGTATTGTAATTCAAATTTCATTTTAAACTATATGAGCTGACCTTTATTAAATTATTCAGATTATCTTCACCTACCCATATTACTTATGCCATATGTTATTACTACATAGTGTACTACCACTACATAGTAGGTTTATTAGAATGCACAGCAAATAACTTAAATTTGCTCAAAATTTAACTTAAAATAATAATGAACTCTTCTAATACTGTCATATGTGTTACTGTAATGTTATACCTGAGTAACATGATACATATTAGGCCTAGTAGATTTGAATGCTATTAAAAATATTTTTCAAAGAGATGCTATACTTTGCTTACAGTGACAGACTAGATCGGTAGATCTCTTTCCTAGTTCTAGATAAACTAAATTCTATCCCCCTGACGATCCACCCAAAGCGTAAACGCTCAACCACATGATACGGTTAGTTTTGTTAGAAGAATAAGGCTAAAAGTCTTTTAGTAAAAGAGTAATATGAGCCGATTGGAAAGCTGTTTAGGGCTTTAGGGTATTTTCAACCCATTGCACAGCTCTTAAGGGTAATTTCAGCCCATGTTAAGCCTTTTTATGGTCATTGCATTTTTTGCGTCTTCTGCCAACCAGCCTAGGCTAGAGGGCAAAAACTTTTTCAGACTAGTCACTTCGTTTTTTTAGTTTATTTCAAGTCAACAATAGTTTAATTAATTTACATAATAATTAATATATAATTAATAACATAGTGAAATTCTCACTTACAGGACAGGAGCTAGCAGCAGTGCCAGTTAGCAGCACTAGCTACTAGTTACTAGCTAGCAGCTAAAGTCTAGCTACAGTAGCTAGATTTTAGATGCTGCTAGAATAGCTACACTCGTCACTAGAGAGTCACAAGTACTACTACTAGTTACTAGTACTAAGTACTATGATGATGACTGGCAGACTAGTCACTAGACTAGAGTTTCTAGTGGCCTAGCACTAGACCTACTACTACTAGATCTAGATCTAGTAGTACTAGTTAGTACTACTAACTAAACTAGCAGTGGACTCAGGCACTTCTCCATTTTTAGACACAGTTGACTAGAGTCTAGAGACTGAGTGTTGAGTTGACAGTTGTTTTGTTTTGTTCAGTGTGTGAGTTCAAGAGTTGCGTTGCTTAATTTTAAACAATTTTAAAATTTAATTTCAAAATTTGTGTGGCAATGCCTTGCTCCTACTGAGAATCTAGATCTAGATCTAGATCTAGAATCTAGGTCCTAAGATCGGTAAAACTCCATTTTAGCGTATTTTATTTCTCCGCTGCTTGTTTACCTCCAGTTGAGCGTATTTTATTATAACAGCCGAAACACACCAAAACATTAGGAAAACATGATTCATTTATTTGTATTGTATTTTTGTTTTAAATTAAAAAAATAATAAAAATGAATAAAAAAACAAAGAGACTGACTTTGTTTTAGATTTTGATAATTTAGTTTTGTTAAAACGTGAGAAAAATCCAAATTTTGAAAATTGAATGTGCAATGTTCGTGTGTCAGAATTTTCATGGCAATGGGTGAAGTACGTAAGACGTAAACGTAACTCACAATTGCAAGGCGGTTAAGTTTGTATTGTTACAAGTATCTCCCAGTCATGATACTATAAATAAACATTAATGAACTTACAATGACCCCAAAAGTGTGAGGCCAACACAATTTCAAATAGCAATTGCCCGAGCTATGACGTATGCTGATAATTCAATGTCAATGTGAACTCACGGTGAACCCGCGACCGTGTCAGGATTTTTCTCCCGCTGACGATTACACGAGATTCGATATTTAATTGGAACAGTTCTAATGCTTTTTATGTTTTTTTTTTACCTTTTCTAGATCTAATTAAAATCACATTCATTAAAAAAATAAGTAGATCTAGTGTTTTCCTGACGTTTTTGTGTGTTTCGGTTGTGTTTATAATAAAATACGCTCAACTGGAGGTGAACGTGAAGCGGGGAATAAAATACGCTAAAATGGAGTTTTACCCCTAAGATCTTGTGTTGAAGAAGTCCTTCAACTAGATCTAGATCTAGATCTAAATTCTAGTAGATTCTAGATCTGTTTTAAATATACTACAGGCCTAGATCGAGATTTAGATTAGATCTAGAATCTAGATCTAGAAATAAAAAAATCACAAACCCTTGATTTAGAATGTGAAGTGTTCCTCGTTTGTCCGACACGAGAGAAATGTGTTTACAAAAATAAGATAAACCAAAATCAACCCAGCTGGGACTTTGTATCTCTACTCGATTATTTTAATTATCTATATGTATAGTAGATCTATCTAGATCTATATATAACTAGCTGCAACCCGTGCTCCGCCACGGTAAATCTTTTTAAAATGTACCAACTTGGGAAGAGAACAAAACTAAACACAACACAAACGAACGCAAAAAAAAAACACAAACGAAAAAACAAACAAAACACTCATAACATTAACACAATTTAAATGCAATCATAAAGGCATATTGCTCACAGTCTAGCCCGTAGCGCCTAATCGCGCCCTTTCTGAGCGCCGGCGGACGCGTCTGACACAGTGAATGACTATAAATCAGAGGCGTAGCGACCCTTTCCGGCGCCCGGGGACAAACTTTCGATTTGACCCTCCCTCAAACTTTCGATTTGCACCCCCCACCTCAGACTTTCGATTTGCACCACTTTTGATTTGAAATCCCCCCCGCTCAAACTTTCGATTTTGCACCCCCCCCCCCCCCCCCCCCGCAAATTTTTTCCAACCCACTTTGGCGCCCCCTAAGGTCGGTACCCGGGGACATATGCCCCCCCCCCCCCCCCCTCGCTACGCCTCTCCTATAAAACCCCCAACTTGTCCGCAAACCGAAAGATAGAATAATAATAAATAATATACAATAAATAATAGGCAATATTTAAAATATCCCTGTTTTACCTACCATATAGATCTATCACTTTATCAATCCACGCATTTTTTTCCAGTATTTTAAATTTAAAAAATTTACAATAGAGTTTCATAACTAAAACCATTGCGTACCCAATGAACGCGATGACGCGTCTATAATAGTGCGGAATAGTTGATTAAAAAATGATAAGTAGTAAACAGTACATTTAGTGAATAAAATAAAGACTGCATTTTATCAATCCATGCTAATTATAATTTTCTAACAATAATTTCTTCTTCCACATCCGCACAATTTGCATTCACATTTTGCTAATTATATTATTGCAACACTAATTCCTTCTAGAACGTCCGTAGATTTGCATTCACATTTTTTTTTATTAGCGTGAGTTTAATTTATTTTTAAATTACCTCGCTTTTCAAAATTAGAAAAAAAGAGTTAAATTAATTTGATTTTTCTACCCTACTGTTATTATGTTATTAAAATGTATCCACTTTTTCTGGGAATCTAAACGAAATGATATTTGACATTAATCTTTTTAATATGTTTTAGCAGTGTGCGTGTATTAAATATTTTTTGACGTTAAGCGAAAGAGTAAAAACTCCTTTACTTATAATAAGACGCTGCGATGCACTGAAAAGCACTGCATGGTGCATTGTTTACTTTTATGGTTCCAAAAGCTATAGCGATGACGGAAGGAAGGACAGACACAGCCCGCTTGTATTATAGATTCTCTTCTTGGAGACGTTAGAAAACAAGTTGTAAGCGCGCCTTGCAGTCACCTCTCTTCCTCTCTAGGAAGTCTGGTGAGCTGTGGTTCACGCTAAATGTTTACAATCGTAGAGCCGGGTTTAGTGACGGCTATTAGGGGCAGATAATGTAGTTTGAAACGATTTTAAACTTAGGGAAGGTAACGAAGAGGAGTTTGCTTTCAAGGGGTGTGGGGGGTAGTGGTTGGGGGGAAAGGAGGGGGTATCGTCCTTAACGACCATCTGATAGTGTTTTAAAGCAAATATTTTCAGTGGCAGCATTGGTACTGTCGAATTCACAAATTATGAATTGCTGAAAAGTAGAAAATAAAACTAAATAGCGGCGTATGATACGCCGTGAGTCGGCTCGTATTATTATAATATAGCTACGTAAAGTTCAAACACGATTTTGGAAAAAAATAGCGATGTGTTAAGAAAAATTCAACTGCAATTTTAAGCGGGGGGGGGGGGGGGGGGGCAGTGTTTCTTCCAGACTTTTTTCTCCGGGGGGGCACTTGAAATTTTCGGGGGGGCGGTAGACTTTCTTCGGGGGGGGGGGGGGGGGGGGCGGACACTGTTAAAAGTATATATTTTCTATATAAATTATATAAATTTCATAAAAATTTTCGGGGGGGCTTCGACCCCCCCGAAGAGATGCCTGGAAGAAACTCTGGGGGGGGTGTAGGTTGAGGGGTGACGTCATTTTAGGGGTGGGGGGTTTGGCTTTTTGTAACAATGTGTGACGGAGGGGAGGGGGGGGGGAGGTAAAAATCGTCAAAAGGCGTGACGTCATTTATGGATGACCCCTAACATAGACAGCTGTCTACGTTGTGTCTTCTATGACATACTACTTTCAGAAAATAAATTGATAAAATCGCTCCGCTGGTTTGATTCGATAGTTTATTTTTAGAACAGTGTTGTCTTTCCTTATTCTAAGATAAAAATCGCTGATTGGATAATATTTTTTAATCATAAAGATAGCCTAGTTTGTTGAGACAGGACAGTGAACATTACTTTATAAAATAAGGAGTGTATGATCACTTTCTGAACTCCACCTCCTCGTTACAAAAATCCTCCCCCCACCTCCCAGTTGTTACGTCCTGGTTAGTTTCAACTCAAGAACGACTCGTGTTTACGTTCAATACTTTTATTCGGTCTCCAATATTCACATTCCAGGATAGCCCTCGTCCTAACCGCTACCAACTAATCCCAGGCAATCATTCACTCCAGCTTTTATACCGCATTCGACCTTGTGATAACAATACATAAACACTCCGGGATTAACAATACTCTATGGTAAATTCAACTCACACACGCACTCTTCCCTAATTCTAGATTATTCTAACCTATATCTATCTAACCTACAACTGATCCGTAACACCAGTGTGTGTGATGTCTTTTATATGTTACGAGCCGACCCGCGGCGTAGCACACGCAGAGGCGTAGCTAGGGGAAGGCGGCCGCCCAGGGTGCCGACCCTAGGACCCTAGGGGGCGCCTAAAGGGGTAGAAAAATATAAAATAAAAACCCATTTTAAGTTGCAGTTTTCAATTATAAACAGTCAAAGTAAAGAAATTTAACGGCTGAGAGCCTTTGCATACTGATTTAACTGTTTTCTACCTTGATTGTGTAACTGTAAAACGTATATCCTTAAGAAACAGTGACCGGAAAAACCGCTTTCCAACTTTCCTAGATGGCGGGGGGGGGGGGGGGGGCTTTATCGAAGACTAAAATCGGAAAAATTCACATCGGATTAAGGAATAAATAACCGATATCACTCAGAAAAGAAACCCATTGAACTAAATCGTAATTTACGATTGTGTAACATAAAAAAAGAGTTATGACGTTTAAAATCAGCTCTACCATTTTTGTCCAATATGGTGGAGCGCTTTTTCACCAACAAAAATCGCAGGATTTGTACTGGATCGGTTACTAGATAACTCTTTTAACATTTAGAAAAGAAATCAATTGTATTAACACTTAATGTACGATTTCCCTTCTTAGTTTTGCTAAGTAATAACGCGACTGGTTCTTTGTAAGATTCGTACGATTCTCAACTTTATCGTGAGAGATCAGATAATTTTACTTGATTGGATTACATCTTACCTGGATCACTTCATTAAAGAGAAATAAATATCACGGATTCTTGTATCGCTATCCGATCAGTAAAATAGCAATCTGTCTGAGCGGGTGGTGGATTATTACTTTGTTCAACCGAACTGATAATTTAAAATTGTAATATTATTATAGGCCTACTATTATCAAAATTTTCTAAAGACACGACCAAAAGTAGACCAAATAAGCTTGCACCTTCTACAAAATACACTCTAAAGCAGTGGTTTTTAACTTTTTGGAGTTACCGAACCCCTCCAGTTTCATATGCGCATTCACCGAACCCTTCTAGTTGTATCGTCCACACTGACAAAATCCGATCGTGTATCATATGAGTCGGCTGTGTGTCTTGACCTACGCGGAAGCCCCGAGACTAACTTACCGAACCTCTTGGGTTCGATGGACGATGGAACCCACTGCATTAAACTCTTTTGATTTTCTTCCTTTTTATTCGTTTCGGCTCCCTAACGAACACAGGCGTAGGCAACACTCGTCAACTCACTTGATTTTTATGAAGATCGAACCCTCCTCCTGAACGTCATGGGCGTTTGCTGTTATCATTAAACCGGCTATTACAGCTTCTTTAACCAGTGTAATTAGTTCTGAATTTGTTGTTGACTGTGCGAGAAGGCAGCGCACGTCTGATGAATCGAAGACTTCGAGCTGTTGTGTACATTGGATTCCAGTTTGTTTCCTCTAGCCTGTTTCTTTATACAATCAACCAGTCAATGTATTGTATTCCAATGTGAACAATACTTTTGCTATTGTATGTCAATTGTATGACCTTAATCTAACAAACTTATAATCCAACTATCTACCATATCATAACAGAGACTGTTCCAAAGATAAAACATAAAAAGAGTGTCCTAAACGAATTAGCACCGCTACAATTTTATTTTTTTCTGACATTACTAATCATCATTTTTTAAAGGATAATGCATCTTAAGGGGAATTTAATTGGCGTCGAGTAAAGTTTTAGGGAACGACAATCATACAGCGTAATTATCTTTTTCCGGACTGTCGCACACACATACACACACACACACACACACACACATATATATATATATATATATATATATATATATATATATATATATATATATATATATATATATATATATATATATATATATATATATATATATGGGAGGGCGCCAAACTGAAAGTTCGCCCCGGGCGCTGGGAGGGGTTGCTACGCCTCTGATCACACGCCGCTATTTAGTTTTATTTTCTACTTCTTAGTAATTCATAATTTGTGAATTCGACAGTACCAATGCTGTCACTGAAAATATTTGCTTTAACCAACCCCCACCCCGTGAAAGCAGCCTCCTCTTAGTTACCTCCCCTAAGTTTAAAATAGTTTCAAACTAAATTATCTGCCCCTAATAGGCGTCACTAAACCCGGCTCCACGAATGTAAACATTTAGAGTGAACCACAGCTCACCAGACCATGTAGGGGTGGAGTGGTAGTGATAGAGAGGAAAAGAGGGGACTGCAAGGCG